CATGTCCAGGTCATCCTCCCTGCTGAAGGAGCTTGTAGAGATGGGGGTATGCATGGATGGGGGAACTGGCTGGGATGATACCAGTGAGAGCCTAGGGGAGCCAAAGTCTTGGGGTGGGGGAGAGATAGATAAGATAGATAGATAGATGGATAGATAGATAGATAGATAGATAGATAGACAGAGGATTGAAGTACATTTTGCCAATAGTAACAATAGTCTGCTGCAGTGGCAATAACTTGTGCTTGTATAAGATGAGATGTTCTCCTCCTCACACAAAGGTTCCTCTGCCCCTTTCTAAGAAAATCATTGCAAAACTAGCCACGTGCCACCCAGTGCCAAGATGCCTGATTCTGACTATGGTGATGGTGCAATCTCTCCCTATCGGTCCCCTCCCTAACACAGGAGCAGTTGGCTCCATCTGCACACTGGAAACACTTCTAGGATGATCCAAGACTCCAGTGGGTCCTGGTTTGAGAAAATCAATGTTCCAAGTGAGATGCCGTTCAGCTTTCAGACAGCTCCTCCTCCCTCTACCCCCGAGTCTGCACTTGGGGCATGGGGTCAGAGGGCCCAGTGAGTGGTGGGACCACTGTGAGCACCCTGATCCTTAGGGGACTGACACTGTTGCCAGTCTGGGTCGACCTTAGCTTGAGTGTTTTTTAGGGTGGAGACCAGACAGCCAGGTATTTGGAGTGGTAGGCCAGGTTTGCATTTTGCCGAAGTTCACCCGCCTAGGGTATCTAAGCAGTCACCATTATTATCTTTTTGTTTTGTTTTTGTTAATCCTCACCCAAGAATTTCCATTGATTTTTAGAGAGAGTGGAAGGGAGGGGGAGAGACAGACAGAGAGAGAAACATCAATGTGAGAGAGACACATCCATTGCTTGCCTTCCACATGAGCCTGCAACTAAGGTTCGTGACCTTGACCAGAATCGAACCCGAGGCCCTTCAGTCTGCGGGCGAGCTTTGTCTCTGAGCCAAACCAGCTAGGGCACCATTATTATCTTTTATCTTCTGTCATCTGTGTAGTCTCATCATCATCAGGGTCTCCCTCTCTTGTGGAAGGAGAACCAACAGAAAAGGGGTGTTCCTCACCACAGAACTTTGTGACCCAGCGTGCAACCCACCGGCAGAGAAGCTCTTGCAATAATAGCACAGAGCACCCTCATTTCTCCAGTAGCCGCAGGGCATAGGGAGCAATGATGCCCCCCCCCCCCCC